GGAGTCTGGAGGCCTGACGGGAGCCGCCTCTCCAGCCTGGCTCTCTTGGCACCTGGGCTCAGGCTGCACTCTGGAGACTGGCCAGGCAAGGACAACGGGTCACCTGTATCCCAGCCGCGGGACACAGAATCGGTTGAGTTCTGCTCTTTGTTGTCAATCTCCGTTCCCTTCACCCGCTCCTCTTCATTTTCATTTTTAGCACCCAAGGGAACCAGTTCGACTCCATCGGGAGAGCTGAGCTCCGATGCTTCTCCACACACGCTATCCGGAGTGCTCATGGCCAGGAAGCTCCCTCGGCCTGAATCCACGTCGCTCTCCATCTTCCTCTCGTCCCGGTCATCCCCGGTCCGCTCCTCTGGAACAGCCCCTTTCCTCGGGGAATATCCGAATCTGTCCGCAGGACTTTGCAAGGTGGGGCACGGGACCCCTCTGCCTGAGTTAGTCCCACCGGAGCGGCTGAACAAAGACTGCAGGCTTGTCTGCGCGGGAGACTTCGGCGCAGCTTTCCTGCTGGCGCTGTGTCCCTTCACCTCGCTCCCAGCCGATTGGTGCAGCGAGAAAGCTGCTCTGAGCCTGGCTACGCTCATGGCCGAGCTGCTCTCAGGAGGGTCACTGGACTCTAGTCCAGCTGCAGATCCCTGAGCAGCCCCCGAGTCTGGAAGAGCCGGTTCCACTGCAGCAGGCTTTACCGGGGTCTCCGCTGCGTCACGCCGAGGAGCCGTTTTGCACGCACCTGATCGAAACGAAACATGATTGAACGCACGGCTCGAACACGACCGAACGCACGGCTCGAACACGACCGAACGCACGGCTCGAACACGACCGAACGCACGGCTCGACGGCGGCAGAAGAAGGGCCGTTTCTGGCTCCCTGAGCCCACCTGGCCGGGCGAACGCGGCGTGGTTGAGGCTGATCTTGTTGACGCCGCCGTTGTACATGGCGACGAGGGAGGTCTTCAGGACGGCCAGGAGCAGCTTCTCCTCCTGCAGCAGGATCTGGCGCTTGTCTGGCGTGACGTTGACGTCCACGCAGTCTGCGGCAAAGCACAGGCATCGGCGGCGTCACAGGACAACACGCTGCTTGGCAGCCCCGCAAGGAGCCTCTGCCAACATCTGCACGTGCACAGACTGCACGCATAGACATTTTTTTCAGTTTTAGACTTTGCTTTAGCAGTGCATGTTTCTGAGCTTTTTACCTCTGTGCAAGTCTTGCGACAACAAGTAAGGAGCGAATTCGATCAGCAATTTCGTGATCCTCACGAGATTCAAGACAAGCACAGCATGCCCGGCCTCCTACTTACCCGACGCCACACTGATGTTCAGGGCCACAAACGGATACTGGTGTCTGTTGTACATGTGATAGACTTCATTCACAAGTTTGGAGACCTACGGGAGGAAGAATAATTCAACACGTGAAAATATATACACGTGCACTTCCCTATATACTTATATGTTTTCCCTATTATTAAATGTTGTAAACACACATTTACAATACCAGAAGACGAAAACGCTCTGTTGCTTTATGGCCCGAAGGTTGCAAGTTTCTGAACCCGTGCAACCCTCATACAAATGTATACATCATTGGTTTAATACAAAGAGCTGCTGCCAGTTGTCAAGCATGGCGGCAGACAGGAGCAATCTATCACAGACTGAGGGGAACATGTTCTGGGGCACCTTTGTGGGGTCACAGGGCCGCTTATTGATAAAGAAGAACTGCCTGTCCGCGGAGCTCCTCCCCAAGCCATGCTCCCCCTGGGAAACGAAACCGGTGATGCTGGAAGGCAAAAACAGGATGTCAGGTCTCCAGTAGAATCTGAGAAGGCGGCGCCGCTTTAGAACGCAAATGTCGGACCAACTCACGTGTAGAGGCTGTCGGGCAAATCGGCTGAACTGAGACCGTAATCTTCCATGACGGCTTCGCTGGGGGGCAGCTGCTGGAATGGGATCAGGCTCTGGAGCTGCATGGGGGGGGGAAGCAGATCCGCTGTAAATGCAACACAGCAGACCCGCTGGCCGGAGAGGTGACACGGCCAATTTCAGGAGGGAAAAAAGACGGGAAGCATGGGACAAGCATGAAACAAAAGACACGGAGAGAGGAAAAGAAGTGGGAGGAGGAGGAGGAGGAGGAGTTGGGCTTCTGAAAGCCCCACACACCTACCTGTCTAGATCCGAACACTGAGCCAATGTTGTCCCTCATGCTCTGGCTGCTGCTGGTGCTGAGCACGAGGCTGCGCTTGCCCTGGCCCGTCTGGTTGGTGCAGGTGATGCGCACCCCCGTGGAGACGATGCAGTAGGCCTGCAGGACCTGCACCATGCGGGCGTACTCCTGCAACGACACGCAGCCCGCGTCACGACAGGGGCCCGGCTCCAGCCAGCAGCTCTGCCTTTACCTTTTTCCCAGGCCTTTGCATGACAACAAACTGGGTTATCAGCAGATATACTGTAAAGAGGCACATGCAGGATTACACAGATCCCTGTTCACTGAAGGTCATTAGGAAATGAACGCAATACCTGAAAGCTACTAAACCAACCCAGCAATTGCCATTACATCGTCTAGGTGGGATCTCATTTTTGCAACCAATATTTGAACCACCCGCCCGAGGCTGCTGGCCTACTTTCTTGATGTTGCGCTGGAACTCCTTGTGGCGCACTGGCAGAGTGTGGAAGAGCTGCTGCAGGGTCACGGTGGTGCCCTGCTGGCGGGGCTGGGGGCTCCTCTGGGTCAGCCGCCCGTCCCGGTCGAACCCCAGCCGGGTGCCCACTCCGGCCGACTCGTGGCAGGTCACCACGCTGAGCTGGCTGCAAGACAGCGGGCGGAGGGCGTCAGTCCCGCAAGGGGGAAACACGACAGGGGCGGAGTCCCGCCTCCGTCACGCAGACCCAGGCCCGCGTGGGGAATGCAGGGAATGCGGTGCGAAATACACAAATCCCCATAGGAAGCAGCAATTCAGCAGTCAATCATTGTGGTGGATTAACTGGAATGTAAATGAAACAGGAAGGACAAGAGCAATAGATAGTCCAAATGTCCCACGAGGTGGACCGCAGTCCAGGAGACTGTTGCAATGGAAGACAATCGCCTGTTACCACGGTGACTGCTTCAGACCCCCCCCCCCGTGAGGTACCTCAGGGCACAGAGGGAGCTCAGAGCTTCTCCCCGGAAACCAAACGTTGCCACGTGAACCAAATCCGAGAACTCCTGCAGCTTGGAGGTGTGGTGCTTCAGAGCTGCAACAGAGATGAAGAGATGAGAGGCAGCTTTCCCTCGTTTCA